AAGGAAGGATGGGAGGGGGGGTAAAAAAAGAGGATTTTTTTGTGTTAGGATAATGTCTCGGAAGGAGGGGGGGGGGGGTCGTATTATATTGATATCAAGAAAGGATGGAGAAAGGGGTAAAAATATTTTTTCAGTTTATATTAATATCAGAGGGATGAGAGAGAGAGGGAGAGAGAGAGAGAGAGAGAGAGAGAGAGAGAGAGAGAGAGAGAGAGAGAGAGAGAGAGAGAGAGAGAGAGAGAGAGAGAGAGAGAGAAAGACAGAGAGAGAGAGAGAGAGAGAGAGAGAGAGAGAGAGAGAGAGAGAGAGAGAGAGAGAGAGAGAAAGACAGAGAGAGAGAGGAGAGAGAGAGAGAGAGAGAGTGAGGGGAAGAAGAAAGAGAACAAGACATTAAAGAAAACGAAAGGAAGAAAAGAGGAAAGGAAGAAAAGAGAAAAGTCAGAAGATATATGCATACATAATGACAAGATGAAGGAAGAGTGATATTTAAAAAAGAGAAGAGAAGGAATTAAATAAGGAATACAGATGAAATAGTAAAGAAAAGAAACAAATCGATAATTCATGTTTCATATTAGCAATGTAAATGACAATAATGATCATGACAAAAGATGACGGTGATGAAGATGAAAATTAAAACAAATGACATCACGAAGATAATGATCGAATCTGATATGACTAAAGATAAACAATATTAGAAAGAAAGAGAAAAGAAAACAAAATGTAGAAAATACAACCAAAATTATAAAACAGTTATAAAGAAAATACATAATAAACGAGAAATTAAATGTATAAATAACAAAAGGAGATAGAGTGATTGATGGTGGAAAATAATGACCAGAAATCAAATACAAAACTTATTACAATAAAGGTTATCGCTACATGTTATCAGTAATGTGACATATGACATTCATTAATCCCAAAATTAGGCACAAAAAATGTCTTAAAAATGTAACAATATGAAACTCGCAAGAAAATTTTAATTACTATAAAACCTTATCAACGTTATAACACATTATGAAGCCTAACTGATTAAATAAATGTTTTTGTTATCTTATAACACATTATCTAAATTAAAGGACGTTTTGTATCCAGCTTATTAAATCAGACAAGAAAAAAAATGTAATGACCTTACAAGAACAACAAAAAAATCTACTTACAATTATAAAAAGTAAAAAGTTTTATATAATTCATTGGTTTTATACCTTGTATTGACATTTAAGTGACAAGGTACACTATAATCCTACCTGTATGGCATTAAATACATGAATAGTTAACTCAATACCCTTTTTTTATGACTAATTCATGTAGACATCTTAGAATATTAAAATTTTGAGTAAATCCTATATACACTTATTTTCTTTATATAAATTGATGAATCATGGAAAAAGATATATACCGTGTGCCTCTTATAATGTTTAATTACTATAGTGTATGCTATATAAAGCTTACGTCAGTCTTGTGAGAGGTTTTGATGGTATTCAACGTAATATGATTTTCATTTTTGTAAATCTTAGAGGATTTTTTCTTGATATCAAAAGCAGGTGTCTTTCCTTCTTTTTTTTTTGTATGTGAATTGAAATTATACAAGTAGTTACTTAATATGGATAAAGTTATTTAACTCTTACATCGAACACATACACACATACGTACAATCTTTCTCTCTTTCTCACACACACACAAACGTCCTCATTCACCCATAAACACACACACACACACACACACACACACACACACACACACACACACACACACACACACACACACACGTATACACACGAACACACTTTACATATATAAAATCCTTATTTTTTCTTCGACCACCCTATTCAGAAGAAGCGTTGAAACACGTCCTTTTCTTTACATAGTTTTGAAGGCGAGTAATCAAGATGGCCATTCATATGAGTCACACGTACTGGACTTTTATTTCACGCATTATATATAAAAGGAATACTATACTCTACTGCGATATAGTGGCTTCATATATCTCTATCTAGCTCTCTGTCTATCTATCTATACATATTTTTTCTATTTATATATCTATCTATCTATCTATCTATACATTTTTCTATTTATATATCTATCTGTCTATACATTCTTCTATTTATATATCTATCTGTCTATACATTTTTCTATTTATATATCTATCTATCTAACTGCCTATCTATCTGTCTATATATATACCTATCTATCTATATATATACCTATCTGCCTCTCTATCTATCTACCTTTTCCCTTTTATCTCGTCTTTGACCCCAGAATGCTGATTTCAGTACTCAAGCCTCTCAGTCGGCTGGGAGGGGATGGTTGGGAGCGAACCCGGGACCGTGCAATTGCAAAGCCATTGCTCTTCTGCTGAGCAATTTATCCTCCACTAATGGAGTTACTTAAGGGCGTCTTTTGTACGCACAATAAAAGTTAATGCAGTATTAAAGTTTAAGTCAAATCCCTAATAACGCAAGCGCAATGGCAGCGTCCAGGATTAAATTTAATTTGCACTCGA